TATATACACACACACACACACACACATATATATATATATATATATATATATATATATAGTATCAAACCGACCCATGAACTACATAAAATATGTATATATAGTGTCAACTGACCCATGAACTACATAAAATATGGTATTTATATATGTGTATATATAATGTCAACCGATCCATGAACTACATAAAATATGATATATATATATAGTGTCAACCGACCCATGAACTACATAAATAGTGTCAGTTGGTGAGTTAGATCTGTCAACTAACGTAGCCTGTAGAATGTTATCGGAGGGTGTTTCAACCGTAATTTAACATACTGTCAGGAACTGCAGACAAGAACCTTTAATTAGAGAACTGTTTACTCAGGACGGACTCCGTCCTGAGTAAACAGTTCTCTAATTAAAGGTTCTTGTCTGCAGTTCCTGACAGTATGTTAAATTACGGTTGAAACACCCTGTTTCAACCGTAATTTAACAGAGACTTTTCCAGAAAGCTAACAAGACAACTGATATAAATGAAGGAAACATCTACGTTACATCCGAAACTGCGTTGAGTCAGTTGTTGATATCAAACCAAGGAGGCAATATCTTGAGGAGGAGAATTCCCCAGTAGAAGTAAGGAAACAAGTCCCCAAGTCAGCGGTTTTAGTGATGGGGAGCCTCGCAGTATGTTGATTAACAGTGGCTCTATAGCCTGATTTGGTAATGAAAGGAGAAAGCTGCCTCCAAAAATGAAAACCAACCTTTGTGATATAAAAGCAACTCGTCATAAAGTTCCAGCACAAGGAATGTTGGAAGTCACTCCATACAACATGATGTGTTGGTAACTGACATCAAGAGTGCATAGTAGGAACTGACTTGATACAGACTTACAGATGTGACGTTAGAATAGCTTCATAGTCTATAAAGAGAAACTGTACGACCATTACACAATCAGATGTTGATATTCTAGTAAAAACAATGGCGCATGCACAAAGTAATAAAGATAGCCGATCTGAAGTGCAGCATAGAAGAATCCAGAAGAATAGGTGGTCCAAGCCAAAAGTCGTCTTCGGCAGGATGTCGACAAAAGGGCCACCTGCTTAGCTGCAGCAAAGAATTTACAATAAATAATTCAACCTGCTGGCGAGCTGAGGTACCATTTCAAAGGTATCAACAAGGATACAGCTACCAGTGGATTAGCTCGATCATCTACTCATCTCAAGTGATAGGACAACAAATGAGAATAAAGTACAAGAGGTGGTCCTAGGTACGAACCATAGTCCGTGGAACAAACCAACTATCAGCACAATTTAGTAAATGGACAGTTTAAAAACAGTAAATAACACAATTTATCGTTAATCAGAATATTGGTTGTAGTTTGTTTAACACATATATTCTTAGACTCCTTTTTTTTATGAATATTTAATTAATCATTATGTGGTGCTAACACTTACTCTGACGGCTGTTTGTTCAGGCTCATCTTGGTGTATATGAAGTCGAACCTTGAGACATTCTAATCTTTTTTGGAGGTTGCTGTGTACATATTTTAGAATATGATCGGGTATCTTAGCCGCCATTAAGGATGTTAAGATAACTTTAAACAATATATTCACGACATTTAACAATGAACTATAAAGAGATCACTTCCAAACCATTTCTGAGAATACACATAACCGACTTTCTTACAATATAAGACTGAACTTTAACAATAGAGAAAGGTAAGTGAAAATTGTGTTTACGAATCATCTGTGCCCCCACTAATGTTAAAATCTATGTTTAAGGCACTCCCCCTCAATTTGATGATGTAGTAGTTGCCCACAAAATGAAGGCGGGTTTTATATGTGCAAGCGACCTTGATCATTTTACACACGACCTTCCAACGTTAATTAGGTCCAGAACTTTTTATGTAATACCTGCTTTGTAAGTTTGGTCAATATCCATTAATCTTTTACTGACATATCATGTCTACAAGGTTGGGGAAGCTTTTCTACGTACCACTGACATTTTGATCTTGCCCATTGACAGGCGACCTTCGAAAGATAATCAGGTCTAGAATTTTGTATGTAGTATTGTATAGGGTAGGTCAAAATCCATACACTGAGTATTGAGATATCCCGTCCACAAAGTTAGCACTTACAAACAGGGTCAAACCAATATTCCCTGCTCTACGATGCTTTGTAGGGAGCCATAAAATAACAATCGTTATAGTTTGAAAATTTAGCACACGATCCTCAGAAACAAAAAGATAAATAAGCATCAGTTAATAAAAGACCGAGAAATGCTACAGTGTACGATCTCGTCCAACTTAAAATTCCACACAGTTACGGTCCTTAAAAAAATTCTACTCAAATGACCCCCTTGCTACCGACATTAAACATTTACGACGTCAAACACTGAACAGCTTCATTGACCAACGTTTATAACTACAACAGGAAACAAGTGGCCTGGTGAAGGTTAGTCAAGACTGACAGTATAAAACACTACATTTCCTAAAAACGGTATCCATGAAATTAATAAACAATGATGCGTCAATTGCTCCAGTTTTTCCTGAAACGAGTTTTTTTGAAAACTAAAGTACAACTGCTAAAATCTGGCAACGTTTAGTAAAAAAAAACACGTATGTGATTGATACACCCTGTCCAAGTCCCACAGCGGTATGTCTGCGAATTTACAACGCTAGATTCCGGGTTTCGATACCCGTGGTGAGCAGAGCAACTATACGTCATACCCCCACCCCAACACACACTATCCCTTCCTTATCGAGGCTTCCTACCGATTCTCTTGCAACTACAGAAGTTAATTTCCTTATTGAATGTTTTTTCTATCAACAACGAGACTTAAATGGATTGCTAACTATACGTGGTACTTAAGAAGTTTCCAGTGATTCATTATTGCTCCTACATTAACTTGCCAAAACGTAATTGTTTTGTTTGTTTTTCACGCAAAGCTACCCAAGGGCTACCTGCTCTATCAGTCCCCAATTTGTTTATTGTCGGATGTACAGTATAATATCTACAGCTACGACGTTTCCCTAGGTTAACCATAAATATTATACTCTGTATATGTCTGACAATAAAACGGTTACGACGTTTCACCAGGTTAACCATAAATATTATACTCTGTATATGTCTGACAATAAAACGGTTACGACGTTTCACCAGGTTAACCATAAATATTATACTCTGTATATCTGACAATAAAACGGTTACGACGTTTCACCTGGTT